CCTTGATGTTACTGGTGCTGCAGAGCCAAAAGTATGAAGAGTGAACGTTTCTTGCTTTGTCACAGGCAATTTTAAAGCTCTTACTGTGTTCTCACTGATGAAGCTTCTCTGACTGCCCCCATCCAGTAGGCAGCGAATGCTTTTACGTCCACCAGGTCCTTCTGCCCATGCTCTTACAGTCTGAAGAAGCACAGTGTTCTGTTTATTGGGCTGTATCTTAACAGAATGCGAAGCAAATGAAGAAACTACATCATCTTTGTTTTCAGTGTCTAAAGTGTTTGTTTCTCCTTTCTCACACACAGCACTATGATGTCTGCCTCCACACACATTACAGCACACCTTGGCCTTACAGAATCTTGCAATGTGTTTCGGCCCAAGACAAACAAAGCAACGTCCCAGTTTCATCAATTTTACTTTTCGAGCAGCAATATCAGTTCCTGGACACAGTTCTGTTTTGTGTGCTGCACTGTCACAGAAAAGACATATCTGTATTCTTTGACTGGTGGTTTGCAGTACTGCAGCTGACGGCATGTGATGCTTTTTCTGCTTCATTTCAATTGATGTGTCTGGTCTTTTAAATGGTTTTTGATAGCTCTGGCTGTCTTTGGAATTACCTGGCATAATCAGTTGCATGGCTCTTTCTCTGCTCAAAATCTCTTTCTGTAGAAATTCCATAACTTCTGAGACCTTCCATTCATCACTGGTTCCTCTTTGGCGACTGTACTGGAGAGTAATGTCATCTGGAATCATCTGTAGCAGAACAGGGCATAGCAGGCTGCCGTATGCCTCTGATGCAACACCCAGCGATTCTAAGCTACGGATCTGTACTTCACATTCATCATAAAGTTGTCTCAGAGCACTCACATCGTGTGATTTCTTTACTGGGCAGAGATTCAACAACTTGGTCATATGCGTATTAATGAGCAGATCCTTTCTTCCGAACCGGTTCTGAAGCAGATCGATCGCGTGATCGTAATTGCTGTCTGTCAACATCAGTCCCGCTATTGCCTTTGAAGCAGCGCCTATTGCCTTTGAAGCAGCGCCGGTTACGTATGTCTTTAAGTAATTAAACTTCTCTGTTTTGCTCAGCGCGTCGTTTCTGTGAATAGCGGTTTCAAACTGATTCCAAAAGTCTTGCCACAGGCTAATTTCACCGCTGAACTTGCTGATAATTAACTTGGGTAACTTAACTGTTTGTCCGCGCTGCAATGGCACTGCGTCACACGGCCTGCTGTTAGTGCTTTCCCGGATTCTCTGCGTCACGCGCTGCACGCGAGCTTTCGCGCTGACGACTCGCTCTCCATACTCCTCCGCATTAACAACTTCATTTTCCAAATCATCCATTTCTGTACACTCCTGTATTTCGCGATTCAACTCCAGTAGCGTTTCCTCTTTTGCAGATAACAGGGCTAACAGTTCACATAATCTGTCAACGATCGGATCTTCTTTGCCAACCTCTGTTTCTACGTCTTGCAAAAGTCTCGTCGTGGAACCGCGTACAGCTCTCCGTTTTCTGAGCAGTCTTTCAAGTCGCTCCGCCATTTCGGATGTTGCCTGCAAGTTATCCCGGGTTTCGGCACCAAAGATTGTCGTATCTTTTCTTCCTTAACAAGCAGTAATGACCACTGACGACTTGAATTAAATAAAACGAACTGTTTACTGAAGTTAATCAACGGGATTACACATTGATACAGCGCACAAACATGGAGTCATTTTTCTTTCTCTCTTCTCTCTCTAGTTCTGTCTGCGCGCTCAGCCCCCTAAGCATTTTGGGTAAACTTTTCTTAAAGCTGAACAACCTTATAAATGACAACACTGTTTCTGTTATTATTAAAGATAATTATTTAAACATTTCTATTCTAATTAATTCACAACATCGCGCAAATATTTAAATTCTCGTTCGGTGTGAACACACCATTAGTAAACACTTGTTCATTAATAAAAAATTAATATATCTCCTTGCTATTGTTTCCATAATCATTAGGCTACTTTTGCCAGTGCTTTGCTGCAAGCTTCATGTGTGCTGACCGCAAGGCATATATCCCGCCCCCAGTAGCCTATATTTAATTTATTTCACATTTATTTGTATAGCATTTTTCACAATACATATCGTTTCAAAGCAGCTTTACAGAAAATGCATGTGTCTAAATTACAATTTAGAGTTATCTGTTATCAGAGGTGACAGTGTAATGCATTTCAATTAATTTTCATTCAGTTTCATTGTTAAACAATGCATTAAGTTAAGGCAGAAACAATGAGCTCATTGAAGTTGGCAAGTTTATTTATTTAAATTCTTTAAGTAAAGAATACATGTTGTTAAATGATTAGGAAACATAGAAAACTTTAGCATTGGTGCTTTTTTACATACTCAAAATATGAGTGTAAAAAAGTCAACAAACTGAAAAAATAAAAATTAGGTAATGTTATATTGTTAAAACTGGTTACATAAAATTGGTATCGAAAAAAGTATCGTTTAGGAACCGGTATCGAAGTCAAGGTATCGGTATCGGTATCGAACATTTTGTTATGATACCCAGCCCTACTCAACCAATTATTTCAACAATGACTGAATCATTTAGAAACTAAACAAGTCTTGATAGGTGAGTCATTGAATCATTCACTCAACCAATTATATGAACAATGATTGAATCCTTCAGAAACTAAACAAGTCTTGATGAGTGAGTCATTGAATCATTCACTCAACCAATTATATGAACAATGATTGAATCCTTCAGAAACTAAACAAGTCTTGATGAGTGAGTCATTGAATCATTCACTCAACCAATTATATGAACAATGATTGAATCATTCAGAAACGAAACAAGTCTTGATGAGTGAGTCATTGAATCATTCACTCAACCAATTATTTGAACAATGATTGAATCCTTCAGAAACTAAACAAGTCTTGATGAGTGAGTCATTGAATCATTCACTCAACCAATTATATGAACAATGATTGAATCCTTCAGAAACTAAACAAGTCTTGATGAGTGAGTCATTGAATCATTCACTCAACCAATTATATGAACAATGATTGAATCATTCAGAAACGAAACAAGTCTTGATGAGTGAGTCATTGAATCATTCACTCAACCAATTATTTGAACAATGATTGAATCAGTCAGAAACTAAACAAGTCTTGATGAGTGAGTTATTGAATCATTCACTCAACCAATTATTTGAACAATGATTGAATCATTCAGAAACGAAACAAGTCTTGATGAATAAGTCATTGAATCATTCACTCAACCAATTATTTCAACAATGACTGAATCATTCAGAAACGAAACAAGTCTTAATGAGTGAGTCATTGAATCATTCACTCAACCAATTATATGAACAATGATTGAATCATTCAGAAATTAAACAAGTCTTTATGAGCGAGTCACTGAATTGTTCACTCAGACGAATCATTCAAAAAAGCTGATTCATTAAGGAACGAAAAACGGTACGGTTCAGCTGTGGTTTCGTTTGGAACTATTGTCATTAGTGGAGCAAAAACATACATAACTTGTAATATTATGTCTAAAATTGTAACTTCTTGTTTATTGAACTGCAGTATACAAGCAATACCATACTCGCAATAAATAGCATTTTACAACATAAATGTGTTTGTAAAAATGACACAATGAATAAGTGAATAAAGGATCTGAAGTTCAGCTAAGCGAGAACAAAAATCAGAAGAAACATCAGTCAATTGGTTGCAATTGTGCAATCCTGACGCTCTAACATCCAGAAATGAGTCTGACTTTCACGGTAAACTGCGCTCTCGTTGTGTTTATGAGTCTCCGCTGAACTGTACAGTGTTATGAAATGGTCCTAATGGAGCTTTTCTGTTCGACAAATGGGAATTACAGTCTGAGAGAAAATGTTCTTTGACTTACTGAGCGATTATAGCAAACAAAAACATATGCAAACATTTTCCTGTTGTTTCCGTGGCATTACAAGCTCTTCCGAGAATAGCGGCGTGTTTCTGTGACAGCTGCTCTGTGAGGAAGAAAATACCCCACGGATAAACAAGACAAATGTGCTTCATCACCAAGAATACATTACAATTACTTCTGCTGCACTCTGTTTATCTGTTCTCCGTGATTCTCCATCTTTCTCTCGTCTCGTATATGAAATGCTGAGACGAGCAGAGACTACATCCTAATAAAACGAAGCATCTTCAGTGATTCTGTGCTGCACCCGAGGCTCACGGATACATCTTCATATCAAGAACTATTTCTGGGTTTCTAGAGGTTTTAGAAGAACTCTTTTAAGGTTGCTATAATGCCACAGTTCTTATGATGTCTAAAGACATACAAGGTTCTTCTAAAACATCATAGGAATAAAAAAAAAAAAGGTCCTTATAAGCAAATCAATTGGGGTGGAATTTGTATGTAAGAAAGTAGAATTATATTGAACTGACATTTATTAAAAATCATATAACCTTTAGATAGATGGATGGATAGTTTTTCTCTATATCAGTGTTTCTGAACTCCTAAAACGCCTCCATTGTAGTCTTGAGTTTCTTCCGTGAACGAACACGTCACAATATTCCTCATTATAATAATTCATACGCAAAAATAAAGGGGCGTGGCCTGGTTGAGTTAGTTAGCAGTGTGTTAAACTGGCGGTTATGGTAAGAGTCGGGACATTTCCCAAACACGCTCGAAGCGCTCGACCAATCACAACACACTGATCCAGCCGACCAATCAGAGCACAGTGTGCTTTTCAGAAGGAGGGGCTTCATAGAGACATCAACTAAACAATGTGTTACTGACAGACTGGGAAGAGAGGAGCCGCAACAATGGAGAATATGAGGAGAATAATCAACATTCAAGCTGGAAAACCTGTTCTAGTAGAGCCTGAAACATCATCAAGACTTTAAAAGGTTTTCCTCTCATCTGAACTGTAAAAGTGATCTCCTAAGGCGCCACTGGAACTCCTTTAATTTTAGGAGTGCAAGACAGAAAAAAGTGTTGCGTTTACAGTGTGTGTGTGTGTGTGTGACTCACGGAGCGGTGCTACTTTGCGCCTCCACGGCCTCCATAGCGCACTGGAGAGACATCTGGAGCGACAGCAGCTGACTCGACGTCTCCCTCAACATGAAGCGGGTCACAAACTGACCCAGGACAGAGGAACCCTGGTACTCCTGCAGGAGAAGATGCTCACTGTATCACTTCACACGCACCGCTTTCTTTACCTGCCGCATTAGTCATCATTTACGACCTTCAGTATTCAAAATAATCCTGCAGTAGTTTCGTCATCAATGCAGAAAATATCATGACAAACATGATTAAGCTGCTGAGGAAAGCCTCCGCCGAGCTACTGAGCATCCAGGAAACATCTTGACAAGTAACGACCGTCTGAAGACAAAATTAAGGCCCACTTTCTCCTGCACTAACAGAGATGGGATACAATTACTGCCCTTGACACGGTACAGATCAGAAATAGTAAAGTGGATCATTTCTGAGTTTTTGCACTTACAGTTTCATACATATACATGTCTTTGCATAAACAAAATATTAAAGCAATTGTCAATATGATGCAATATGATGGACGTCTCATGATATTTATTTTAGCACAACTGGGCTGTATTAGGCTATTGATTCCCGTGATCTTGCTTATAAATTCCGATTAGCCTACCTTCGTGATCGCGCAAAGAGGTCTGCGGTCCGTTCAGAATTCCAACCAACATAAAATATAAATAATTACACTGTGCATGTACAAATGAATGATTTAGGAGGGAAATAGACTGCTCCCATAACGTAGAAAGCAACGACTATATACAGCAATGTTCGGTAAATATTCAACCGAAAAATATTCTTCATATAATTAAACCGGAGAGATAGTTAATGAGTGAATTAACTATGTTCCTAAATACATATAAGCACATATGCATAACCCTAACCCATTTAAATAAATGAACACAAAACAGATGTGCTGTTATTGTTATTTTAGCATTATTTTTTTGCTATTGTAGTTTTTATTAATATTTTGAATTTTATTTATATTTAGTCATTTTGTTATATGCTTTTGTCCTTTTAATTTGTTTTTATTTTTGTTTTATATATATATATATATATTACGAGTTTGTTTCAATTTTAGTTTTTATTTACTTCCAGTTAGTCATTTTAGTGCTTCGATGTATTTCAGTTAGTTGCAAATGCAATACTATTAATTTTCGTTTACATTTTTATCTAATATTTCGATTTTATTTTATTGTAGTGCAGCTTTATTTTAGTTGACAAAATATTTGTAAAAGTTTTAGTTACCAATAATAACCCTGGATATGATGTGACCTCATTCGAATCCTACCCAGCTGACAAAAACATATGAACGTTTTGCTAATGCTCCCATTAAGTTATTTCTGAATGTTTTTATTTTTGGTTAGGTAGTTTACCTCCTTCGTCTTGTCCATCGCCTTCAGGACGGCGACATTGAGTTTCTCTAACGCTGACAGAACGTCCAGATATTCTCCAAGATGCTGAGAAAAGTAATCTGGAAAGAGAAAGAGGATGAATTATAGGTCAGAAACAAAATATGAGTCATATTCGTTCTCTGGTGGATTTTTTAGCCGTTCGTTTATGCATGTTTACTGAGCTAATATTAACCTCTTGCACACACTTCTTTAGTTATAAAAATGGCCAGTTTAACTGGAAACAGTGTGGGGGAGAGAGAGAGAGAGAGAGAGAGAGAGAGAGAGAGAGAGAGAGAGAGAGAGAGAGAGAGAGAGAGAGAGAGAGAGAGAGAGAGAGAGAGAGAGAGAGAGAGAGAGAGAGAGAGAGAGAGAGAGAGAGAGAGAGAGAGAGAGAGAGAGAGAGAGAGAGAGAGAGAGAGAGAGAGAGAGAGAGAGAGAGAGAGAGAGAGAGAGAGAGAGAGAGAGAGAGAGAGATGAGAGAGAGAGAGAGAGAGAGAGAGAGAGAGAGAGAGAGAGAGAGAGAGAGAGAGAATTATAGGCCAAAATACAAAATTTGTTATATGGCTACAAAGTCATTTACCACATACGAAGTGGAGAAGTTCAAGGAAATGATGTATGAAATAATCAAGCTTTACAATCTGTTTTTATCTCCACATCATTCTCTATCACACACACACACACACACACACACACAAGCTCATAAACAGGCGACTGTGGCTCTTCAGCGTCGCTGTCAATATCTATATCTGAGTATATGAGTCAGTAAATTATGTTGCTGTGCTGTTCTGGGGACGAGAAGGTTATTTGTCGTAATATGACCGTCTTTACTCTCTGGACTCTGAGCACAGAAGACTCTGCGTTTCAATTCATATAATATATTTTTTGTACTAGGCTAGATGTAGAGTCAGCACACAGTTTTACAGCGGCCTTGGTGCTTTTTCCTATTCAGTTTCTCCATGCGGATCTCAGAAAATTCTATAATAAACAGTTTTAAGCCATAAAACCGACTAAATCCTGCAGCAAAAAAACAACAACTCTTTTTACAAATAATATCTCTGTGGAGAAAATGCAATGAAGTAATTTTTTTGCCATATCATAATCTTATGCATTGATATTACAGACCGCTTGGTTGCGTAATGTTTTGCATCGGAAACTAGCTTAACTAATTAACTTAAAATGTATTACTCTCAAAACATGCATGGATGCACACTTCAAAAATCCACCAGAAAACGTATAACACCTTTGAAATAATATACCAGCTTTAGTATGCAAATCAGGATGCATTAATCTTGCACACTATCCAAGACGGATAATATTCAAAAGAATTTGCTAAATGTTCGGATTCTCAATATAGTTGAGAAGCTAAAATGTAAAAAATAAAAGGAGATATTAACAGATTATGACCTTGCAAAGTAATAACAAACCACTTAAGATGCATTCTTAAAGGTAGAGAATGTGAAATGTGCGAAGAACAGGTACGTTTCTTTTTTAATTACTGCCACTTGAAGAAACACTTCTTCCATCTTTATTTTCTATCCAGGATGATAATTTAAAGGAATTGCCCACACCTACCTGATAGTTTGTCTGTATCGAGGTTACTGGAAAAGGAAGAGGAGAGAGAATAAAATGAGTCATAAGATGAAAAGTCTTAATTGATTTGGAGAAGAGTCAAGGACGGTGTCATTAGAGGAAGATGTGTGGGCCGTCCACAGCTTCACACACTTTTACACTGTAAACAGTCCAATTACGCTTCATTCTGTGAACACGCCAGGGCTGAGGTGATGTTTCTCAGCGGATAATGATCTCGCTAATGTGGTCAAACCAGTATAACAAAAATATCCTATACCTAAATGCTATATTAAGTTCCAATGAATATTATGTTCCAGCATCCCAGTGACCTTGCAGAGGATAGAGCGGTTTATAATATAATATAATATAATATAATATAATATAATATAATATAATATAATATAATATAATATAATATAATATAATATAATATAATATAATATAATATAATACAATATAATACAATATAATATAATACAATACAATATAATATAATACAATATAATGTATTGTAATAAAATATAATATAATATTAAGTTCCAGCATCCCAGTGACCTTGCAGAGGATAGAGCGGTTTATAATAATATAATATAATATAATATAATATAATATAATATAATATAATATAATATAATATAATATAATATAATATAATATAATATAATGTATTGTAATAAAATATAATATAATATTAAGTTCAGCATTGTAGTGACCTTGAAGGGGATAGAGCAGTTTATAATATAATATAATATAATATAATATAATATAATGTATTGTAATAAAATATAATATAATATTAAGTTCAGCATTGTAGTGACCTTGAAGGGGATAGAGCAGTTTATAATATAATATAATATAATATAATATAATATAATATAATATAATATAATATAATATAATATAATATAATACAATATAATATAATACAATATAATATAATACAATACAATATAATATAATGTATTGTAATAAAATATAATATAATATTAAGTTCCAGCATCCCAGTGACCTTGCAGAGGATAGAGCGGTTTATAATAATATAATATAATATAATATAATATAATATAATATAATATAATATAATATAATATAATATAATATAATGTATTGTAATAAAATATAATATTAAGTTCAGCATTGTAGTGACCTTGAAGGGGATAGAGCGGTTTATAATATAATATAATATAATATAATATAATATAATATAATATAATATAATATAATATAATATAATAGTTCCAACATCCCCATGACACTACAGAGGATAAAGCGGTAAGTATTATATGATATACTTTTATAATATATAATATATTAAATTTAGAATTTGATAAATACATGCATTTATTTGGAAATTATCACATAAGAATACTGTGAAGTCCTGCATTCACATTATATAATGAGAGATGACCCTAAAACCAAAGATGCAGATAATCCCCATGAGTTTCTGGTATGGAGGAAACATGCCAAAGAATAAAGCCTTGCAGAATCACACCATCCCACAGCTCAGACGAAAACAAATCTAAATACCCCGGTACGTGTTGTGTTGTCACATTAAATCGCCATCGCAGCCAAAACACAATTATGAACACTGTGTAGTCTCAGACGCCATAATTGGCTGAATTTGCTTTGAGTGCTCCCTGATAGCATTAATGGACTTTTAATATTTCGCTGAGACTGAGGGACGGAAAAAAGCAAAAGGAGAAAAGGGACTAGTTGAATGAATTGGGTAATTAAATTGCATTGTGTCCAAGCTGGCGTCTAACACACTATTATCCACAGACTGATGCTGAGTTGATATCTAAACGCTTTTGCGTTTCCCGAAAGCATCGTTAGCCAACTATGGTCGCAAGTTCCGTCGTTATCAGCAGTTTAACGAGTCGATGTTTCCCGAAACCATCGTTTTAACGAACATTCGCGAACAGCATCGCAGAGGTGTGTGTGTGAGCGGCAGATCTCGAGCTGTGGTTAGAAGCAGTTTCTAGATTGCATGACATGTGGACTTAATAAATCCTTATCTTGAGCAAA